TTAGAGTTATGCTCGCCTGTACTACCAATGCTCAATATGTATCTTTTTTTTTGTGATTATTTTCCTTGTGTACAAAGTGTAAATAAATAAATAAATAAATAAGTTTTCTAGGTTAAGAAATAAGTTATACTCTATTTAACTAAATAATTTCAGATGTAGCGACATTGGAAAATATGCAATGACAGGTTCCCAAACAAGGAAGTGTATCGGAGGATCTTGGGACGGAGTGAAACCGACTTGCTTTGGATTGAACCAAGAAAATGACTACGCTAGTAAGTTATATTGCAAATCTTTACACGTCTTGTGATGATAGGATTTTAGGGCCTGTCCCACTACTAGCTGATAAAGGCTCAGATAGCTTAAAAATGACATAACCCTCAAATAAGAGAACAAAATTCGAAATTTCCATCATAGCTTTTACTAATTGACAGTATCCTACTAATATTTGAAATGCGAAAGTTTAGACGGATGGATGGATGGATGTTTGTTAGAATTTGTACCCTTAACAGCTGAACGGATTTCAATGAAATTTGGTATAAATATAGAGGATAGTCTGGAAGAACACATAGGCTACTCACTTTTATTTTTTATATTTCCACGCGGACGGAGTCGCGGGCGAAAGTTAGTTATTAAATATTTGTCTGTTTTCAGTGGAGAAACCTCCAACGATATTGTTCCGGCACTCTCAGGGCCCTATCGCACAGACTAACGACGGCAAACTGCTGATTTACCCAGGAACTGTGCTGCACATGGAGTGTTTGTGGATGAGGAGGTTCGGAAACCCCAAGTGGAACGTCACGCATTACATACCCGAGTAAGTATAATTTCCAAACCAATACGACTTAGGGTCCTTCAAGAAGCGAGCCTATCAGTTCCTCAAAGGCTGGCAACGCATCTGTAGTTCTGCTGGTGTTGGGGACGTCCATGGGTGTTGGTGACCAGCTCGGTGTTCTCACCGCTCGTTTGTCACCCTTTAATATAATTTAGGTAGATTAAAAAACTCACTGCCATAACACACATCCGTAAGAGGGCCAGGCATAAATTACAGATTTCCGAATGTCGACGCACCTCTTTCGCTTCTTCCACATTCATACACGTCAGTTCCAGGTGCTCTTAAAACCCTCTTTGAGTTACCTTCAGAATCAATACGTCAAATCAAGCAAATATTTCAAACATCACAAGTCTTTCTTCTTTAAAAAAATGTTATTGGCAACACACAATGTTCTCTACAAAGATTGAATCATGTGACCAATATATACAATGTTTCAGCTAGTATACATTGCAATATTAATGTTTCCAGTCCTGAACGTAAATACCAAGAAGGCTGGACGACGGACCCTGGGAGGGACAGCCAGCTGGAGTACCGGCTTAGTATCCTGGGCGCGGTGAAGGAGGACTCCGGCATCTACCGCTGTGAGACACCAGCTAGACAGAGCCATCAAGTGGAGATCATCGTTGAAGGTAACCAGGTTTTCTTAGAAACTGGTTATTTATTGCATTCCAAAGATAAAGTCTTGTAGAAGAGATCGGTTTATACCGATCCCTTCTACAAGAAGAGGTTTATACCCTTATGGGTAGGGTGCGGTTGCACAGCCCTTCGCTGCACCGAGAGGCATAACCCTGTTACTCCCCTATTCCAAAGTTCTAAAAAGGGTATGACCTTGAATTCTCACAATGCTAGAACTAAAATTATTACTGGTAGGAGATGCCGAATAATCAGTAAATCGCTTAAGTTAATTGATTTTTATATAATAACCTAAATGGGTTAATTTTAAGTAATGAAGTTTCATTCCAAATAACTTTTTTTATAATATAATGTGGCAAACGAGCAAGCGGCCTTAATCCACCGAAATGGAAAGCGACCGCTGCACAAACATTCGCAATTGTAGATGCGTTGCCTACCCTTCATTGACGGAGGAGACGCACATAAAGAGGACATTTCCCCTTCC